TTGTAGGGTTAGGATAAGGATTCATTTGGTTGCACAGAAGTTATTTATTCTGCTTTTGAAATGTTTAATAACATTTTGATTGTTACAGAATCTCATGTTGTTGTTTGTAGCGCTAGATAAACTCAGACAATAAAAGGCAACTGTGTGCTAAATCAAAAACTCACTGTTTTCACTTGAAGGGAGGCATTCAGCAAATACAGGCCGATTCCATAAATTATAAAATGACTGAAAAGTTCCTTTATCAGCAGTTCTTTCACCAAGTGGAAGACATTCTATAGATTAATTAGATTACTTCCGTTTTAACATATTTATACTTCGTAGGATGTTTAATACGTCCTAAAGATTATTTTTGAAAGGTTATCTCGTTAATCCTGGTTTCGGTAGGACGTTTATCTTAATTTATTGAATAAGAAAGTGAGGCATTCACATAGAGGTTTTGGCTTTAATCTTAGCGGTAGAAAAGAAAAGGTCTTCCAGTAACTATGGGTGCATCAGCGCCTCCATGCCTCCTCCACGCTCCTCTTCAACTTGCAGCACAATGTTCCAGCCTTCGTGTGAATCATTCTGGTTAACATCCAAAGTATCTTCTGAACGTCCAACATGAATTTCTGTTGCAGATTTGGCCAGTCCTATGGAAACTATATGGAATTGCCACTGTTTCAATTACTTTGTTTTTTCAGGTTGGGTTTTTTGTGTTTTTGGTTCCAAAGAAAAAATGTGATATTCTTATGCTGATGTTTTTGCGGGTGTTGTTGAAGTTTTGTGGTGTTACGACATGTCAATACATCATCAGGTGGTTTAAGGAAGTTACAAGGCTCTGTAGAAATTTGTAATTTTCTCATACAAATAATTTTAGAAAATATAATTTGTTTTGATTACGAGAGTATTTTCAAAAGTACTTCAGTATTATTGGTTGATTCTTCAGCCTGTATGTTTTTAATGTTTCCTGTAGTCATTTCAAATCTACTTTTATTTATCCAGGTTGAAAAGTTGGCCACAATACTGATGGACAGAGATTTTGTGTAAGAAATTATGAAAATAAATAACTAAAATTAAAAAATATTCTATGAGTACTTTTGTTTACATACTCATATGGTGTGTTCACTTTGGCTTACAATCATTTCTGACCTCACCATAGGTTTGTCAGGCTCATAAAATATTTGAACTGTTGTATGAATTTGTGTTGATTCATTAGCATCTGGTTTATGTCAGAACTTTATCATCTGTGTAATGTGAGAAAATGAAAAGAAAGAAATCACATTATAGATGGGAGCACAGAAAGAAATGCTAAAAGAACAATGCTGTCCTCTAAACCTTTACAAGAGTCAAAAGGCTTAGATTTACCACAATGCAGTCAAAATTAAGGACATTTGTATCTGCAATGACTTTGTTTGAAGGAAAATTGGTAGTTTCATTAGAAATAGTAGCGATAAGTTGGTAACATAAAATACCCTCTTAGCTTTCAAGATGTACATACAGTATGATTAACTAGATTTTTGTCATCCCTAAATTTTTAAATGGCCACAAGATGGACAATAAGGTCATGTATGTCTGTTTCTTTTTTCAGTCACACATGTATATGTGTTTTAAAAGCTGATTTCAGAGTAGAGGACTATTTAAACCTAACTACACATGGGAGGGGAAACTAAAACAATTATAATGCATATAATTTTCTGAAGAAAAACAGAAAATGTGTTGCAATAATTGTAGCGGCCTCTTGGAATAAACAGCCAAATGCAGGGAGTTCCAAACGGGTGCAGTTTAACCTTGACTTTTCTTGTCGTAGACACCGTGAAAACTGTAGCATGAAATAAAAAGATACATAATTGTTGGGCATGCTTAACTTGCATAAATAAACATAGATGTTCACACATAAAAAAAATATGTTGTGTCCTTAACTCGTCACCATACACAAGTTTTGTTTCTAAACAATAAACCACTGACGTTCTACTGCTTTTAAATAAACATGTCTTATCACAAATCACAATTGCGCATAACTCATTCTGCTATTTTACAGATTTTCTTTAGTTTCCTTCAGGCTCTAACGCTGACTCATCGTGGTTAATGTATTGATATATGTTATTATGTTATAATTCAGAGACCTTCCATTGTTGCTCAAGTTTTTTTTTAAGTTGTACAAAAATTATCAGTTTATCAGAATATAATGTTACTTACACATCAGTAAAACTAAAGAAATTAGCTTAATATGTGGTAAAGAAAAATAATAAAAAAATAATATTTCAATCTAAAAGTGCTGGTACATTATACACTATAAATTTCTTGTAATGCTAACTGAAAAAGCACTTAACTAAAATAGAACCGTTGAACTATTAGGACATGTACTAAAAGAAAAATAAATACAACTTCACAGAAAAAATATAATATACATAACAATAATAATACAAAATCTTACAGTACTATTTTATTTTTATTAAATTTGGTCAGATATTATGTGTTTTTGCCAATTTTCAACCAATTTACTGAGCCAACTGCCGAGCGCGTGCGGTGACTCATCGATGCTCTGATGGTGTTTGAGCTAACGGAGATTTTGTTTTTTTTCAGTCTCAGCTGCTCTCATGGAAACTTTCAGGGATAAAAAAAAACAAACCGAATTTACTATTTTCAATTATATATTTGAGAAACTATACCAATATTGTTTTTCTTACCGTTTGTCCAGATTTTATAAGCTCTTCAGGCTCTAACGGAAACAACGGTTAGCTGTTAGCTCTCAACCGTGTCTGACGCGTACTGAGGAGAAACACAGCGCAGTAGTGAAAGGGGCGGGACAATCAACCCCATTGGCTGACTCAATATCAGACCACGCCAGCTATTGGTTGCCCAATCCATCAGCAAAACAATCACTAAAGGCCTACCTCACAGCTTTTTAAAGATTTGTAGCACTTTTTGATATATTTTTCTAAGTAAAACAAAACACAAAATCTATTTAGACTTTACAAATCTTGTGAAAAAAAAGACATCAAATTAACATAATTAACTTTCACTTGTGTTTTTAACACTGGGTTACACTAACAATAGATGACTTCCACTTTGCTTCTGGATTTAAGTTAACTGGACTCCTTGAGTACCCAGAAGGACAAGAAGTTATTGTGGTGCCTTTCTCCAGCTAATGGACTGTGTCCAGGTCGCCAGTGTACCTGGACAGTCCAGGTACACCCTGGACAGGCCGCCAATCTGTTGGAGGGCAACACTGAGACAGACATGACAAACAACCACGCACACACTCACATCTAGGGAGAATTTAGAAAGACCAATTAATCTGTCAGTCATGTTTTTGGGCTGTGGGAGGAAGCCGTAGTACCTGGAGAGAACCCACGCACAGGGAGAACATGTGGGCTGGGCATCGAACCCAGGACCTTCTTACTGCAAGGCAACAGTGCTTCTAACTGCTCCACTATGCAGCCTTGACTGATGTAATCATTTATTTGTATATCAATGGATGTCTGGGAAGGCAAGTGATTGTCTGAAAAATAGCAATAAAATCAAAAACTAAATAGCTTCACTCATTTTTATGTCTGTTAAATATCTCTCACGCACAAAAAAGCATTCTTGACTTTTTCTGTTTGCAACACAAAGTCATCAGGTGGATGGACATCATCAACCTCAGAAATAGGTACATACCGTATGTACATTTGGAACATTAATGGTATTTATTGTCACTTCCTACTTATCTCTACTAATGAAATAAAATCTTCCATCAAAGTAATTTCATTCAAAAAACTGAACAAGTGTCCTTCAATTTGACTGCTCTATGTAGGTTTTATCTACTTATGCCATTAAATTCTTGTAAATGTTTTATTAGAGTACAGCAATTGTTATCTTAGCATTTTTTTCCACGCTCTCAACTATAAAATGATTCCTTACTTTTGATTTCTCACATTACTCAAATTATGATGTTCTGACATAGATCAGAAACAAAATAATTAACACATGAATCAATATTAATGATCATGAAAAATTTACACCAGGCCCCGAAATGATTGAAAGCTTATCAGATCTATAACCTGACATTCTGACTCGACATTGATAAGAACACAGCGAGACGGCTGAAATCCCAAATGCAATCCAACTGAATGGAGAATTCTGCCCAAAGACATTTCTGTCTGTCTCTAAATCAGTTCTGCCACACTCCTTTGCAATTGCATATTTATTACAATTGAGGCGTTGCTTAGGTTACAAATCATTTGCGTAGGGGGAAAGACAAACAGAAAACACAACTGTCAACACACAGTTGTAATTATTTCTACTACAAAGAAGATTCCTGTCTTTGCATATCTGAGGTTGTAAAATTGCAGTTCTCATGATCCTCCCTCTGGTCATAAGTTTCAGTTACCGGGACTCTGGGTCATAAACTAATGACCCTTTCATCCCAGTAGATGTCAGCTCTTCACCCCAAGGCGGCTGGCATCTGTTGTGTTGTGTTCTGGGGTTCACTGTTTTCTTTAAAGAAAATTTGGCAGTGTTAAAGCAACACCTATAGAGTCGAATTTAACACTGTTTCCGTCTATATGTTCCCTATCGGAATTGGTGTTAAGTTACTCTTTCAACAGTGTTACATTTTCAGAGTTAAATTTAACTCTAAATCGAGTAAAAATTTACACTGGCTAACACTGTGCAGTGTTAATAAAACTTAACACTCCTAGTCAAATAACTCTGATAAGAGTAAATATGATTCTAATCAGAGTTAATAAGTTACTCCATAATGGTGAAAAAACTACTCTGGTTCTCATGTTATTTAACACTGCATCGAGTTATTGAAAGTTTACACTGGAGGCTCATATAACTCCTATGAGTGTTAAACTGACACTCCACTGTGTAGATAACTTACTCTTTAGCTGTGAAAAAACAACTCTGCACAGATAAATATGAAGTGCTATTTTTACACTTTTGTAGAGTGAAATGTACAACTGAATAAAAATCACATTACCACAGAAATGCATTTAACTTATTTATTGAATTAAAGCAGGTTTGATATCCATTGTTAACTTTTGTCACAGTAACATCACATGGTGTACATCCCATTGACGGCTCGAAGTTGACAGAGTACATTTAAGGCAAAGAGTTTTTCCATCCAAGTAACCATGAACGAACTATTTGTAGATACCAAACAAGTGCATTTGTGCAACTTAACTCTGCCCAACAAATAAAACACATAATGCCAAACAGATTTGTTCAAGTACTACTGAAGCAACCTAGCCCGAATTTCTGCCACACGAGGACTTTCTTTCACTTTACCTACGTCTATATTGTACACAGTGGTCTGGATGAATGTGAACATGTTGCATAGTATGGGGTTGTATGTTGTGGCAAACACGTAATGTGCCTTAAACAGTTCATCAAAAGCACCAAGAGAGGATGTTGACCTGCAAGCAATGGCATTCTTGTCAAGGATGATGAAGAACTGGTGGGCTACTTTCTTCCTCCGTCCACAGCAAGGAGATAGGGTTGTGTGCTCGTCGTGATGGCATCAAGATGTTCTTGGATGTTGGTTCCTATCTGTGGGGGGAAAAAAGAAAAGAACAATATAATTACAAAGCTGCAATGTTCCACAAAAAACAGATATATGGAAAAACAGCATTTAACTATGTGATATCACTGTAAAACTGAAATTCTCCCAGTGAAACAACCTCGAGTATAACATAAAATAAAATTTGCAACAAATACAAACCTTCTTGAAGACCACAAGACGCTTCTCTGCTTGGGAGGCAGATACCTTCCCTGGTCTCTTACGACCCAAGGCAGAGGGGGGAATCAGGTGTAGCAGCAGCAAAATCGATGAGAGGTCACTGTCCCAACCTGTGATAAGAAACATTTGATGTTGAATTGACCATCAAAACCTAGTGACTACACAATTTAAATTAGGTGTACATCACTAAGTGAAGCTCACACAATAATTAAATTCTACATATTGTTGAAAGTCATCCTTACTCATGTCATTATCCACTTCAGTGCTATCCTCAGGAGTATCAGCTGCCAGGAGAAGTTCTTCAAGGTCACTGGTGGTTGGAAGCTTCCTGCAGTTGGATGATCTTTCTCTTGAACGTGGTCGTCCATTTTTCCAGAAACTTGCCAGCACATCTTCTCCAAACATCAGGACAAAATCCTGCTCCACCTAGGATGTAGATAGTAAAAAGCTTAAAAAATTTCCCAGCCACTTTAACTGTATTCATTTTGACTTGTCACAAAAATACACTATTTTTACATGACTGTAAAATTATCAAAATAAATAATTACCAAGCCTTTGACATCTTTGAAACGTGGAAAGACAGAGAGTATGTTGCTTGACCGTTGGGGGTCAAGGACCATGTTGCGCCGGAAGTCAAATGTGAGCTTCATCTTCTTCTTGATTGTGTCCTCATCAGCTGAATGCTTAATCAGTGCGATGGCTTCCTTGCACTCTTCTTCACTCAGGACAGTCTCTGGAACAAACTTGGTGTCTCGTCTAGCAGCTGGTCCTCCAAGCCCTTGTTGACAAGATCCTTCTTCGGATGATGCTAGTAAAAATAAGAAAATCTTTCAACTTACAAAAACAAGAATGAGCTTGGCTGAGATTCCTCAGGCGATTCCATCATGGAGACAAATTCTAACCATAAGAGAAGCAGATGAAAGACAAAAAACAGTAATCACAATGAAATAGCAAGCTTATTAAATACTAAAATGAATTACAAATATAACAAACCAGTTTCATATTCGATGGTTAGGACTCCAGCAGAAGGATCCTTAACAACATCTTCATCCAACTCAGTCCCTGAACTGTCAACAACCTTCACGCCCTCTGTTACAGTTGGCAGGCCAAATTTTACAAATGCTAGAGAAAAAGACAAATGCTTGTCTAAACCACAATTATGAGGTTATGTTGCTCTAATACTCACATGTGCACATAAATTCTGGAACAATACTTTTGAATAAACAATGTCAAGTAACATTACAAGCGCCTCAGAGCTTCCTGTGTAAAGCTCCCAGTGTCTTACCTGCTGTCAAAAACTCCTTCAGATTCGGCTCCGTTAGTCGGACACGGATTTTAGGCGGACATTTTAAGCTAGGCATTCACTCGGTCAGGTTAGCCGTATAAAACTAAGTATTTAGATATCTAGCCCACTCATATACCGGGGAACAAATAAAATATTCTTATAAAACAATTCAAATTGTATTATTATCTTATAAAAAGAAACTTACTGCAGTCGCTCAAGCAGGAGAAAAATGGCGTCCACACAACGGTTAGACTTGTTGGTTTGAGAGGAGGAGGTGGGCGGAGCTTGTCAGAGTCAAATTGACACGACGTGAATACACTCTGGAAATTTACACCAACACTAGGTGGCATTATACTCAGTCTGTTGTTGTATTAGCTCTGAAAGAGTCAATCAATTTTAACACAGCATATTTAACACTGCGAAATTTACTGTTTCTTTTGTGCCGCTATTCCTTTTTTCAGCCACTAGATGACTTCCTGGACCCGACCCAACACCTCACAACCTCCACTTATTGTGTTTTTCAATAAATTCACTTTCACTAAACCTACTCTACTATGTTGTGTTCTGCATGTCGGCTAGAAACCTAGACTCCAACATGACATGTTGTCCATTTGTCACTTCTGCTCCTCCAGAGACAAAAGAAACATGCATCCCAAAGCAAACAAAGAGCTCTCAGTGCTTACGTATTTTTATTTGTAATTAACATAACCTATCATTACACATCAGATGACCGAGTAAATTGCAACATTTTTATTTATAGTACTGGTAATTCATTTTGATAATTTCTTACACAAAATGTCCATATGTCCATCAAAACAGTGAACATTTTGACCTGGATAAATGTAGATTTGAAATGACTACAGGAAACATGGAAAGATGTACAGGCTGGACAAGGAAGTAACATGACAACAGGTTTAACAATCTCATCTCCGTATGTTTTATTCCAATCAGATTAGTTTGACAATTTATAGTTAGATCCAATAAATGACACATCATCCCTCTTGTCCAGTTTCATTCTGCAACAGAAATTCATGTTGGAAGTTTAAACACTTTAAATGTTAACCAGAATGATCCACACAGCCACTAAAGAGGATTTCAATAAATCGTGTCACCAAGTAATGACTTCTCCTCCTGTGACTCTTCACATTGTGGATCAATTAATTTCTTCCAGCCCTGGTGAATCTTATCTAAGTGAACCTGAGCCTCATTCTTCACAGCCTCTGCTGTTTTCTGTGCTGCTTCCTTTGGAGTCTCTGCTACTTCAGCCACATCGCACCCAATTAAAGCCCCTTTAACAGCACCTGTTGCAGCTACTGCTGCAGCAGGTGCTATAACGCTAAGAGATGTCGCTGCTGGTATCACACCGCCCACTAGTGCTGATGCCATCCCTGCTGAAGCTACAACTGTTCTCCCAACCGCCTTCCTCAGCTTTACTGGCTCTGAAGATTCCTGTAAAACAGTAAGAACTGCTCCAACCATGACCACCACACCAAAAATCGCCCCTAACAAAACACCGACACCAAGGGCCGTACACATGATCAAGAGTTTATCAGCAACCCTTCTCTTGGCCTTTTCTCTGATCTCTGCTTCCGGCAGGTTTCCTGAGACCTGTCGAATGTTCTCCTCCTCTTCTTTTATTTCTTCCTCGGCCGCCTGCAGCAGGTCATTGGTGTAGCATTTGCCCTTGTTTTCCGTTACCAAAGTGTCAATAGTTTCAAGAAGCCTCTCCATCTGGAACAGGTTGCTCCTGTATTCTTTCTGTTGCCTATTGTTCCAGTACTTGTTGTCCATGACGTGGCAGCGGCCGCCACACCTCTTCACCAGTTCACTCACAAGCTTATTGCCCCTGAGAAACTCCTCAATCTGCTCCCCATCAGGCAGCTGGTCGCCATGAGTGAACACCACCACGGCATATTTAAGAACATCTTCAGAGAAGTACGTGCAGATTTTCTCGATAATAGCCTTCTCGTGCTCTGTGAATTTCTCCACCTTGAGCACAATGAGGAACACATGGGGCCCAGGAGCGCACTCTGTGATGCACCTCACTATCTCAGGCTTCAGCGCCTCCTCCGACCGGTCTGTGTCAAAGAAACCCGGGGTGTCGATGACCGTGAGGTTTCTCCCACCGACGGACCTGGTGATGGCTTCGCAGTGGCTTGTTTCAGAGTTGATTGTGTGGTTGATCGTGAACAGCTGGTCTCCACATATTGTGTTGGCCAGGCTGCTTTTACCAGATCCGGTTTTTCCCAGGAGGACCATTCTAATTGGTGCTGCAACCAAAAGAGAGTAATGCTCATTAATTGTATTTTGCTTCCTGTACACTGTACGTGTGAAAATTGTGAATCTTTAGCTTTCAACATTACATGTATGCATGATTTCTTGAAAATCCATAACACTTAAAAAAAAGAAACTCACAAAAATGTCCTAATTAAAAGTGTAATAGACATAATGCAGACACCCACTCTTGCTATTGGAATGAAGAGGGAAAGTAATGAGAGAAATGTCTTAATTTATCATCATCCAATTCAATTCCTCTACAAAGTTTGGATGTTTGTTCATCTAGACCAGGGATGTCAAACCCGTTTTCATTTTGGACCTCATCAAAAATTTGAATGTTCTTAAAGGGCCGGTTGTACCACAATGGATAAAACCAATTCAATTGTTAAAATGTCAATAAATAGCTTTTCCTTCTGGATTTTGTGATTGTTTTACTGTTTTCTTTGCAGTAAAATTTGCAAATTTTATGGTACCAATTTAGAAATGTTTGATAGACCGTGTCCCTCGAGGAGCCCTGTGGGGGTTCTCTGGGAGCATTGGGTACTGGGCCCTTTGATACGGTCTGTCAGGTCCCTATATGACCCGTGTCAGAGTCTGGTCCGCATTGCCGGCAGTACGTCAGGCTCATTTCCGGTGAGGGTTGGACTCTGCCAGGGCTGCCCTTTGTCACTGATTCTGTTCATTACTTTCATGGACAGAATATATCATGTTAGTCTAGAAGAGAAAGGTGAAAATGCGACATGTAATTTTTGCCCTCATAGCAACAGTTATATATTATAAACAATTTGACTCTCACAAACTTCCTTTCAACATCACATGTTGCAACAAAACTGGTCACCATGAATGGATGTGTTGCTGTTAACAGACACAGTCTAAAGTAAAACTAAAATAATTTTGGTGAACAAAGCAGGTGGTTAAAGTCCAACCAGTCTAAGCTTGATGTTGCAACATGCAGCCAAGCCATTGTGGACAGAGTTTCCTGGTAATAGTTCCTTCTCCTAAGATTACATTTATTAATTAAGTTTAATGATAAATATTTGAACATATATTTTAAAGTTCTAATAAGAGGAGATCCAAAATAGTTTAACATATTCTAGCATGTTATTTAAGTAATAAAATTGTTACTTTCCCTGGTAATTGGTATCTTTTACAATATAGTAATTCAGTTATTAACTCAGCTACTTTTATGAAAATATAACTAGTTTTCAAAAGTAACTTGCCCAATACTGGTTATTATTTTGCATAAAAAACTATTTTTATACAACAAACACAAAAACACTATTAGTAAAGAAGATGATAAAAAGTTGACAAAACTAACAATAATCCCAACTGGCCTGCCAAGAGTGTTGTTGAACTGAAAGAATCTGATAAACTGATAAACTTAGAAGACAGGGAAACCTTCATTTTAAAATAAGAAGCCAATAAGCAAATATAAATTGCACAAAGAGGTATCCAAGCCCCACTTTGTACGTCAGACTTTTCCTTCTGGGGCAATTGTGCAGTTACAGTAAGTATTGTCTTTGATTGGTCGTCTTAATATGTCAAACACTGAAACAGGGAAGCGGCCTGACTGGTTTGATGGCTAGCAATAATGTTCTATTGCAGCTTAACATCAGATGTCAAGCTGCAATAGACGCACACGCACCCCCCCCCCCCCACCCACACACCCACACACACACACACACACACACACACATCCGCGAACACACACACACACACGCACGCACACACACATGCGCGAACACACACACACACACACACACACACACACACACACACACACACACACACACACACACACACACACACACACACACACACACACATTCCTTATGCACTCCCCAGAAAATGTGCGCTAAGTTTTAGGGTATACCGTAATCAAGAAGTTTTTGGTTTTTAAATGTGAGACATGCAATGGATGCCATTTTGCCCAGACTCTTTCTTATTGCTTGATCTTGATCTCTGATCTTGACAGAGACAAGTGAGAAGAGTTCAGTATTGTTTAGTCACATTTAAGTATAACGGAAGTCCTAGAAAATGTGAATGCATAGAAGGAAAGTGCCTTAAAAGGATCTATAAATTACAGTCCCAAAGAGTGAAACCTTATCTTTAAAATAGTTAAAATTTGACTGTAAAAGATTTTAAGGTAAACCTTACTCACCATCCATGATAAGTGTCAAAGTTCAGATGCAGGATCAGTCTTCTAAAATGAAGATGTTATGTCCTTTGTTAGAGATTTGCCGTCTGAGACAAAATGTTCAAGTAGCTTTGATGTATTTTCTGTTTCTGCAGTCAGCCAAGCCCAGATTTGGGTGTGTTCATAATTTTACATGTTCTTTCTGAACTTCCTCTAACCCTTCCTCTCTCTGTCAGTTTTTTGACTATACAATGTTCAGACTTCAGCAAGAATTTATCTGCAGAATGACAGTTCTCTTCTTTGTCAGCACAATGAGAGGAAACAGAAACCTAGTGGGTTGAAACCACACATTTGTGCAGAGCTACTGCGCTTAAAGCAGATGTTTCTGTACAAACCACATTGTATCATTTATGACAAAGATCAGAAGTTTTTAATCTCAAAAACAACTCCTGTGTGGTTTTTGGGTGTGCTTAATATATTGATTCTTTTAAAAACTAGAAATATCCTGAAGAAGAATTGAATAAATCATGTTTTATGCAGTTAACACATAGGATAAAGAAACTAAGATATATATTTAATAAAATACTCTTAGCAATTTATTGGTGAGTTATTCGTTCAGGGTGATAAAATGTTCTCACGAGTTTTCCATGTTATTACAAAATGTTTATTACAGAATAAAGTGATTTCTAGAATGTAGATTTTAAAGAAAAAGTGTCTCCAACACGGAAGCTGCATATATTTACTAATCAGAATAGTTTTATTCCCTCAATTAAATCTGAAACACCCTCTTACTCTGCCTGATTTTATTCGTGGTGCCTGTGTTTCACATTTCAGTCCAATTTGAAAATGTTTTGATAAGTGCTGTAATTCCATTGAATAAATTAGACATTTTAAATCTCTCCAAATGAAGAGATATTTTATAAAACAGTCCAAGACTACAAAGCAGCTAATTTGGGATTAGCACTCTAACTAGCCTATCAGGCCCTTAACTTGGGGCTGAAACTATCTGGTCTAGAAGAAGCTTCCTTATTATTTTTAACATTTAATGTTGTATTATTGACCTAGCAAAGGTTCCATAAAAAGGGCTCAGAGATTCACTTTCTACTTTCACTGAAAATGTTTTGAGAAAAGAATAATTATTTTTCCGTGTTAATGTTAACAACCTTACAAGCACATTTGTGAATTATCAGGTCACAGTAAGAGTAAGTTTTGTCCAAACATTTCTGTTATTTAGTATCCTAACCAATATACTTCTTGTTTTCTAATTTTCATAAGCTTCATAGATGCACTTGCTTCATGTGACTTTATTTACGTGTTGCTCTTCTCTTTTTCACTTTTGTTTTTACTCAGAATGATAAAAATATGTAAATAAATGGAGCTGTCCCAACAAATACCCTGGAAACAATTCAGCTGTCAGTGTTGCTCTCTGTAATGCACGAAATCACAGGTTCCATACAATGTTTGTGTTTGTGTCTGTAAATTAACATGTTTATTTACAGACAAACACATATTTTTTAATCTCTGTCTCAAGTTAAATCCAACCAAAGGTTTTTCGTTGTGACTTAATTACAATCACCAATATTATTTGATTCGCTAAATTCAAACCTTCTTTGATCTCAAGTGTCTGACAGATTAACTGACCATCAAATCTTATAACAAGCTCAGCTGATGTGCAGTTACACCAGGTGTTTGCTAATTGCTGCTAGCTAGTCTGAGGGAGTTCAGTGGGGGAGACAGGGCTGCTTAGTGATCTAGTGGATTGGACATTACTGTACAATTGGACATCACTGTCCAATCCACTTACTGTGCGCTGTATGAGTTGTCGTTCTGCATTGAGTGAGGAATACCTGTGGTTGGGGAAATGAGAAGGGGGCAAAAGGTTTTTATATTGATTGTCAACACTACGGTAGCAAGACAATAAGATCCAAAGGGAAGACATTTCACAGGTCAGTAAAAAGCTTTTAAAAAATATTGAAAGTGGAGAATAGGTTAGTGATGATAGCTTAACTTTTATCACTTTAACATGCTCTTGCTGCACAGTTTGCAAAAATAAGGCTACCCACACAGATTTTTTTACAGATAATCAGAAGTGCAGTGGTTTAAGTTAGATAATCAATCATCTCCAGTGTTCTTGGGATCACTTCCTAATGATGCAAAATGGAAATTCAGAAACATAAATCTGCAATGAACGGAATGTTCCGTTTTCCGTTTGTTTGTCTTTTGTGTTTTTTTTTTTTTTTTTTTACTTTTTTTGTATGGGAAATGTTTTTGTGGGATTTCTTTTTAGTATTGATTTCTGATGTACTTGAACGTAATCTTTCCTCTGAGCTCCTGGGGCTATTGTTTATTGGTTGCCATGGCAACGAGTCTGCTTGAGCTCACATGGTGAGAAAATAAATAATACAATCACCCAATTTTTTTTTACAATTTTCTCCTGGCAAATTACGTCATTTGTTCGTAGAGATATTCAGATCAATCATCAGATAGGATGAAACATTTCATAAAGCATAAAGGAACCAAAGTATCTTCTGAACGTCCAACATGAATTTCTGTTGCAGGAAGAACATTTATTAAATCTAACTATAAATTGTCAAACTAATCTGATTGGAGTAAAACATACATAGATTAGATTGTTAAACCTCTTGTCATGTTAGATTGACTCCAGAAAACATGGAAACATGTATAAGCTGGACAATAAAGTAACATGACAAGAGATTTAACAATCTCATCTATGTATGTTTGACTCCAATCACATTAGTTTAACAATTTATGTATGTATTTATCCAGTTTGAAAAGTTAGACACAATTTTGATGGACAGAGATTTTGCATAAGAAATTATGAAAATAAATTCCTAAAATTAAAATATATTGCCTGTGTCAGTTCTGCTGTTTACTGACATCTCTTGCGTACAACAGTTAAGCTTACAGAAGCTTCTGACCGTGGCGTAGGTTTGTCAGGCTCTTGACATATTTGACCGGTTGTAAGAATTGCGTTGATTCATTTGCATAGATGTATGTCAAAATGTCCCCATTTGTGTAATGTGAGAAAATTAAAAGAAAAGCATCCAGTTACAGATAAGAGCACAGAAAAAAAAATGTGATAAAAGAGCTAAAAGGCACAGATCTACCAGCACTGCAGTCAAAATTAAGGACGTTTTTGTCTGGAATTACTTTGTTAGAAGAAAAATTGTGTTGTTTCATTAGAAATAGCAGAGATAAGTAGGTACTGGTGACATAAAATACCTTCTTAGCTTCAAGGTCTTCATATAGTAAGATTAAGAATTAGAGTCTCATCTGTAAATTTCTAAATAGCCAAAAGAGGGAATAAAGTTTTTGTATGTTTCTTTTTTTTTCAGGCTTTAAAAATGACAGTGTGGAGGATATTTTATGATTAATTTGAACAGAAGTATAGCTTTAACATAACAGTAATTATTAAATCTCGAGTAGATGTATGAACACATGAAGGACTACAATAAGTATATCTATATGTAGATATCTATTATAGATATCTATATATAAGCATATATATATATATATATATATATATATATATATATATATATTATATAATATATATATATATATATATATATATATATATATATATATATATATATATACCTATATATATATATATATATATATATATATATATATACCTTCACGTTTGGATCAACTATTGTAGTAACCATATTTACTATTCTCTGTCTATATGGTTGAAATTGTTTCATGTTTCCCTCAAAATAGTTACTGTTATCGGTTTTGTAGACCAAAAGGAAGCCCTGAGGAGACGTGAGCACGCGGTAGAGCTACTCTCAGGTCCGCTGGGCTTTCTTGTCACAGACAAACCACCAGCTTATGACTCTCCCAGCAGCAGATTCTCCACGGCCCCAGCAGAGGTTGGTGGACTCAACAGCACTTTAGATGCTGTCAGGGACCAAGCAGTACAGAATGGAGGACACAGGCGTTGAATTAAAAAAAAAAGTGGGTATTTATTTACCCCCAAAAGTATGAAAAATGATTAACATAACAGCAATTAAAAGGACATGACAATAATAGAGGTCAACTCAAAATGCAAAAGTAAAAACATAACTGACAAAACCTTCAAACTGACCTCCTGGAAGGATACTTAAATACTGGTTTAGCCCCTGTCTCTTTTATCCTTCATGCCCCTAAGCCCTTTGAGTTGTTTTTAAATTATTTGAGTGTCAGGAGGCCTGCTCGTGCCCCTCAACAATACTAACTAAGCAAAATAAACTAGTCTGGCTGCCCTCTGTCTAATAATGATTGAGGATGCTCTGTTCCTCTGCCTCCATGTTGTTCAGGTAAGGTGGAAGGGGGCAGATCTGCACCTCTAACTATCAAATTATAGACGATAATAATTTTTTTTCAACATACACCTGTTCATAATAAAAATGTAGGTGTGATGTTGAAGTTAGAAAAACTGTTTTTATAATTGTCCTCTGCATGGCTGGACGAAAAAAACAAAAAAAAAAAAAACACTTGCCCCAAAACACAGAAATGCTTTGGCTGCAGAGGAAACTTCTGACTTTAACTTAATTAGGCTGCCCGATGCTGGACTAAATGCCCAGTTCGCTACAAGCAGCCTGACGTTGTTTGAGATAACTTAAACTGAACAGTAAAATGACCTGAAACATCCAAGGACAAAGGGCTTGGGTTGGATCCCTAGCAACATGCAGGCTGTTGTCAGAGTGCTTCTATTGCCTGTTTGGTTTCTTCACCTCTTCATCCTTGAATGACAAAGACTGGACACGCAGGGAAAAAATCAGATGTGAGGCAAAAATCTCAACAGCAAATTATAAAAATATATCTCTAAGAAGAAGTCAAAAGTCCCAATAAATCTAAAACTGCCATAATTTTTCATTGTTTAAGTTCAGTGTGCTTTTGGCAAGCCATGTGCTCAGAACCAACTACATTTGTAGAATCCTGAAGATTTTTCCCAACAGCTGAAGACAAAACAACCTGCTGTCATCATGATCATCAACTGGGAGACTGGTTAGTCCAAGAAAAGGATCTGATTACATAAAATAAATCTACATATAGAATGTCTTGAGGTGAGTGTTCTCTGAATATAAAGAGGTTATTCATCCAGCTAATAGGATGAAACATCACACTATCATCGGTTCACAAGAAAAAAATAAGAGTAAATTTCAGCAATGCTTTTGGAAACCTATGGAACTCCAAATTTGTTAGTTGACTTTATGTCTGAGTTGTCATAAACTCAGGTTTATGTGCTGTGATAAAGTCAGATTATTTCCTCCATATTGTTTATTGAAATATTTTTTTGTATTTGCTCGATATTTATATAGATTTTTTTGCTATTGTGATAGGTGCAATCTTCTATGGAGGGCTAAAAGGGACAAAATTAAATTAACATATCCTAATATCATAATGTCATTAGTAAAATGTACCATGATCGTGAACTAAATAAATGATTAATGAATCAACTGTTTAGTAAATTATTTAATTATGTCATTCAATCATTAAAATGCAAATTTGTGGCAACTTATTTCAAATCAAATGTGAATTTATTTAATCTTTTAACACAAATAAGAGGTTGCATAAAATTTGCAACACTGACTATTTTCCCACATTTGTTTATTATTGTAATGGTTATTTTACACAAAATCCCTTTAAAAATCACAATTACTTGTTGAACAGTATTGAACTAAATCATTTACTTTAAGACTCAGTGGTTTAAGTACTGCTTTTACAAGATCTGACGCTAAATTCTGAGATTTCTCTACGGCTGTAAATCCTGAAGATCTCACAGCCTGAGCCGCCTTCTTTGCTGCTTCCCATGGAGTTTTTGTATTTTCTGCTGCTATATCCTGTCACCCCCCAGAAATGCTGCTGCTGCTGTAGCCACACCTACTACTCGTGTTAACACTCCTCCTATTTGAGAAGACACTTCTCCGAGCTACTTCTGCTGTTGTCACATTTGGAACTGCTGCTTCTTTTCCTGCTGTTGCTGCTGGTGGTTCTCCCGTTTCTACCGCTTCTTTTTCTGCTTCCCTTGTTTTGTCTGGTGCTGCTCTGTCACGTCCAGAGCTCGTTTTGTCAACATTGCACTCCATGATTTGGTTGCAGAGGTGATGACTCTAACAGTTGTTGCCAGCAATGCAACAACCATTGACACAGCTACTGCTAGACCAAAAGCAGCTCCTAGCAAAGCACCGGCAGTGATGCCTGCTAGCTTGTTTAAGAAATCAGCATACGTCCTTTCTTTAGCCATCTCTCTGATTTTTTCCAATGGTATGTTCCTGGAAGACTTTGCAATGTGTTCCTCTTCTTGTTTAATACTCTCCTCTATTTTCTGCAGCATGGCATTGGTGTAGAAGCTTCTGTCGTTTTCTTCCACTGTCTTTTCTATTGACTTGAGCAGCTTCTTCACCTGATAGCGGTTGCTTCTGTATCCGTACTTCCATCGCTTGTTCCAGCGATCGTTGTCTACGACGTGGCATCGATTTCCACACTTTCTATGAAGTCGCTAAGGGACTTGTTTCCCTTCACAAACCCTTGGATTCGTTGCCGTCTTGGAAGCCGATCACCGTGAGTAAAGACGACAGTTGAATATTTAAGCACCTCGTCAGAGAGGTGCTCATTCATTTTGCTGACGATGTCGTCGTCTTCATCTGCAGACTTCTCCACGTTGAGCACGATGAGGAAAGCGTGAGGCCCAGGCGAACACTCTGTGATCCCTTTCAGTAACTCAGCCTTCAGCTCTTTCTCGTCTTTCTGTGGATCAAATAAACCGGGCATATCGATCAGAGTGATTTCTGTCCCACCAACTCGTTTGGTCTTGGCGTCACATCTTCTCATCCCGGGATCCTCGTCATGGTTGACGTTGAACTTCTTCTCTTTAACCCTCCTGTTGTCCTCGGCTTATGTCGACCGAGGACAAGCCCTTAAAAAATATGTTTTTCAATTGCAGCTGCATACAGAAACTTTAATCTAACAGTCCTGCATCAGAACTACGGTGTGCACAACTCAGGGGGAAGTTTAGGCTCAAGCAATCCAAATGTGAACTTTACAAAAGAAATAAAGATAACCAAACCCAGGCCTCAGGTCAGACTGACCGGAAGACTAAGGAAATTACAGCTGGACAGGCAAACAGTATGGAATGGCATCACTGATCTCCGTAAAACTGATATCTTTTCAAATTTCCCCCCCTCCTGTTGCCCTCGGGTTGACATGACCCGAGGACAAGCCCTTATAAAACATTTTTTTAATTGCAACTGCATACAGAAACTTGAAATCTAACAGTCCTGAATCAGACCTACAGTGTTCACAACTCAGATGGAATTTTCTGCTGGAGCAATTCAAATGTGAACTTGACGAAAAAAATAAGAATAACCTCCTGTTGTCTTCGGGTCAAAATGACCCGAAGACAAGAGGAGGGTTAAATATGGTGTTTCCAAGGCTGCTTTTTCCTGCTCCAGGCGGTCCAATGATGGCAATTCTTCTTTTAGGCACTAAGAGAGAATTAGTTTTTTTCAGACAAGGAGAAAACATTTATTTTTGTTGATTTCTCTTCAAGAAGCATCATATTTATCGAATCTAACTCAAGAAAAATTAAAGCTGGGGAACGTGGCTACTAACGCCATGACATTCGAAATCACAGCAACCTATCAATACGAATTTCCAGTTAAAAGTTGTTTTATGTCATATATATTATTCATCATTATTTTATTCATAGTTAGAATTGTCATACAACATCTGCTTTGTCATAAATTGCAGAAACTCATTTAGACATGGTGGAGAAAGACCTACGTTGGGAATTGTTCTGTCTTGCTCCCAACCCACAACAAGCCGCTGGAGAGCCTGAAAATGAGAGAGAAACAGATCAGACACCGGTTGACAAAAGCAGCAAAAGTGCAGCTTAAATTTTGGTGTTTTCTGAAACAGAATGGCAAATAACGGTAATGGATGAGATCACTCTTTTGAGCTTGAATGACTACAGTTTTATCACAGACATGTCTTATCCACACTCGTTAAGATGCAACATTTTCTTTGCGACTTCATTAATTTATCAGATTGAACTTGACGGAAGACGCCCTTCTTCACAATGCAGCCCTGGGCGCTTGCCCGTGTCGCCCATATCACCGACTGCCCCTGTTCAAACCTTTTTTTTTGTATTACAACCTTGTAAAATGATTCAATACATCAAATCAAAAAATGGTACTAGTAATGAGTCGAAATCATCAGCAGTGGGTTTTCTCATCTTTAGGACTCTATTAGATTCTCTATTAGATTCCAGTTGGGGATTCTGACTCAAAAATGTTCATAATAGCCCCAGGGAAATTTGGCAAGCCTAAACATGCAAATAGTTTTATAAACAGGCAGAACTAAGAATGTCAAGAAATAAAACCAAGTTATACTATTTGGTTCTCTGCAGTAACATAAAAATCCCTCTTGTGCTCATAGTTTACTTCACCACACATCGCACATGGACATCAAAAACAAAATCTCTCAGAAAGATGATTTTTCTTTCCCTTTTTTGCTATTCTGTCAAGTCTAAATTGTGAACATGAGATCGCCTCTATTTCTTTTATTGAGTTGATATCCCAAACGTTGTTGAACCACTTCAAATTGTTTTCATTCGTCGTTCTCACAATGAAATTACATGTTAGAAATACTTCTGCTCTGTGTTAGAATGTCAGAGAAAGCATAATCTACACTGCAAGCAAAAACAGCAAGTTTAGATGACGAAAAAGAGTGAACATTTGTTATTAGTTATTATATCTCACCTTCCATGATGTTGAAGAAAGAATCGCTTAGGAATCCCTCAGAAAAGCCTCTCACCAAGGCGAATCGACTTTTTTCTTTGGCTTCTTTCGTCGACGGTCTGACTCAAAATTAGGTGAGTGCTTGATTTCACTTTTGTTTTTATTACTGGTTACGCAACACAAGCAAACTTGACACAACAAGCATAAACTTAACATAAAATCAGGGTGTAGTTAACATTGGTCTTATAAGACAACTGAGATGTTGTCAGACATCGGAGCCGCAGTGGCTTCCCAAAGTATTCACACCCCTAGAACACGTTTTTATGACACACGACAACAAGCATAAATGTTATTCGAATTTTATGTGATAGACTGACACAAAGTGGTGTACAATTGTGAAGCAGAAAAGAAACATTAGCAAATAAATAACTAAAAAGTACCTTAGTTTTAATCAAGGTAATATTGACTTCATAATCTCGATGAATTGGACTTAAGTATTTACAGATGGTCGATCAGTATTTTAACTTTTACTTTCCGTTGATCTGCTGATGGCTCCCATCTTAAATCTAGTACCTTAAATTTCATTAGAAGCGATTTCTTTAAGGAAATAATTAGGAACCAGAACATTAAATCATCTGTTTTTTATTAGTAGTATTATCATTTTTTGTTTATAAAAAGAAAATTTTGGTGTTTCTACCTACTTTTATTTAGAAAACATTAAATGGCAGCCAGACCGGAGATAAATGAGAAATTAGATGAAACAAATGCAGAGCTGAAATGACGCAATATTCTATAAAAGACAAGACTGTTATTGTCACAAAAACAGACATCACTTTCCATAAACAAGCTGGGCACTGGGAAACTTCACACCACAAACCAAATGAATAAAATGACATTTTATTTACACCTTATTGCTTTGCCAAAGGTTGTTGCACACATAGCTGCATATTTAGACAAAGTAGTCAGAACATTTTGTGAACCACTGAGCCGTGTTGTCCTCTTTAACTTGGCCACAGTGCCATCTAGTGGCCTGGCATCACAATGTGACAGGGTTCTTTTATGACTTGGGCAACCCACAAAAAAAAAGACTTCTCAAGGCCAGAGATCACTTCAGTGAATTTTTTATTATCTATTCAGTGAACAAAGATGGCACGTGCAAAGTATATACAGAAGACATCCAAGGCAGGTTAAAATCAACACAGCAGCATCTTAGTTCAGCATGTATCACCTTCAGTGTGAGTTCTCCAGATTCTAGCTGCAGACTGCCTCCCTGTTGAACAGAACCCAGCTTTTAAAGCCACAAGCTCCTCCCACAGAAAGTCCAATCAAGAAAACAAAACAAACACTAAGCAATTACTCCTAACTCAAATAAATTCTTAAAAGTATACAAAATAATTAATAAGAAAAAATAAACTTGTAATTAAAAAAATACAATAATCAATTAAACAGCAAACACTCAGTACGTTCTGATGACATCACCACATCACGCAACTCTCCCCCGGTGCGCCACGATCCGGAAACAAGCCAATTGAAAATAAAGCCGGGAAAATGTTTCAAAATGGCAGATAAGGATTAATGTTATCACAATGAACCGCGCCAGTTTAAGCTGCAACAAAAAGCAAGTTAGCGATTGTGTATGTGTATGGGCGTCCTAACGCGGACTCTTTAATTAGGTCTTAACTCGTGGCGGCTCCTCCGTCACACACAACTACAGTGGCTTCAAAGTGTCTTGGGAGTTTCATCTAAATTTTTCCTCCATTGACAAATACCAGCAGTTTACATGAATAGCTAGTCTCATGTAAATATATTTCAGAGAGTACTTTGTGGTTTGATATGTCTAAAATATCTCCGACACGCAACCACACACACACAGCCATGCCTAATGGAAATTTAGAGACCAATTAACCCAACAATCGTGTTTTTTTTTTATTATGGGAGAGGAAGCTGGAGCTCTTGGGGAGAACCCACACAAGCACCAGAAGAACATGCAAATTCCATGTAGAAACACCCCAATGTTTGGACTCAAACCCAGAACCTTCTTGCTATAAGCCAACCAAACTAGCAACAGCACCATCCCCTAAAAATCCATCTCTTCGTTTTACATGTGACCAAAAAACCAATCCAGAATGCGTTCAAAGTTCTCATGTTATGATGAATGAGAGAACACCAAACTGAAAACCAACAACAGTTCAAAATTCTGTCCACAAATGCATGACCAGAGAAGAAGACAGAGGGGGAAACATGACAGGGTCCAGCAATTAACAGAAACAAACTATTGGTAATGAGAAGGATTAAAACATCTACTGATATATAAATAGGCACTAAAGTTCTCCTAGATAAAACAGCTAAGACTAATTGCTCCTTCTTAACCCATGAATCACGTTTCATGAAGAGAACACACAGATGCATTGATTATGGGTTCATTCAAAAAGCAGAAATGTTTGGAATGAAGTTTGGAGATCTTTTTTAAAATCTCCACATTCACTGAAGACGATTACACGTCTTAAAATCCAACGGCTACGTTTCCATATCTTTAGATTTTGGGTCCAATTCCCAAAATACATTAAACTGGGGACAGAGTCTCAAACTATCGTCGTTTCATAATGACAACAAATAACAACAGTATGACCAAAAACATCACCAATATTCCACTTAATAGGAAAATGGTTCCAGCCATTGGTACTCTGTCACAAAACGACAGGAACAGGAGGAAGTAAAACGCAACAATCAGAAGGACGACCCAGATGTTCTTCTTGATCATCTTATAAAGGTCATACAGTTTTTTGAACAATAGTCCTACTACCAACACTATTAAACCTGCAGTTATTTTTGCCAACCAAGTTAAACCTGTTTTAATTGCCCCTAAAACTCGCTCTGCCACCCCAGTAAGAAATTTCCCAACTGCCCCTAAACCTCCCGTTAGTGGCCCTGTTAAACTTGATATAACTGCCCCTAAACCTCCTATTCCTCCCCCAAATAAACCAGTTAAAGATGCCCCTAAACCTCCTATTACTCCCACAAAGAAACCAGCTAAAAATTCCCATAAACCTCCTTTTTCCGACCCTTTATCTTCTGCCGCTGCTGTTTTACTCCTACTGCCTGACCTATTTGATGCCTCATTTGTTTTTTTATCAATCTTTTCATCAGTTTCTTCCTCAGAGACCTTTTCTTCAGGTCTCTCTTCTGGCTCAGAACATGGTTCTTGATCTTCTCTCTGGTCTCTAGTGGGGCATTCTCCAGTTTTGGGGTATGTTTGTGCTGTTTGCCAAACTGCCACATCTGACCCAAAGAAAGCTTTTGCCACCAAGTTCCCCCCAGGACCTGAGAAGCTAATCCACAAGTTGTTGTTGGCATTACCTTTGTTGTCGTCATTTGATTGTTCTGGGTTACTTGATTTTGTGTTATTTTTGTCTCTCTGATGTGCCTGGAGGATTTCGTTGGTGTAACACCCTCCTTTGTTTTCTATCACTATCTCATCCATCATGCTGATCAGCTGGGACACTTGGGAATCGTTTTCGTCACCCGTTGTGCTGTTCTGATGATCAGCTACATGATACCGGCCACTGCACTTCATTACCAAATCCTTAAGACGTTGATTCTCATTGATATGCTTTTCAATTGCCATCCGATCAGGGCCATGAGTAAAAACAACTGCGGCATATTTGAATGCTTCCTCCGGAAGACACTGGAAGATTTTGTCAAGTGCAGCCGACTGTTGCTTTGAGGACGCCTCTGCGTTCAGCACAATCAGAAGAACATGGGGACCGGGACTGCACCTTGCGGTACACCTCGCTATCTCATCCTTCAGCTCTGCCTCAGATTGGTCAAGAGGAGAGAAACCAGGAGTGTCCAACACAGTGAATCTTCTTTCGTGGGCAGATTTGGACTGAATTTGATAGTCGGTCGTCTTGCCAGGTTCAAACATTTCCTCTCCTAAGATGGAGTTTCCAAGGGTGCTTTTCCCAGCCCCGGCTTCTCCCAACAGGACGATCCTGTAGGCTCTCAGCACTATGAAGCAATGATGAAAATGAAATCATCATGTTCATTTAGAAGGATAACAGAAAACTGCAAATCACTGTGATCTCTAAGTTACCTTTGATGCACTTCTGAACTCCATCTGTTCCTTTGATGATGAGCTTTGATGCTGCCACCAGGGAAGGAAAATTATAAAGAATAAGACAATTCTTACACTGTTTATTGCTTTGTTGTCCCTGAGCTTCACAGGGATGGATTTAAGATAATTGCACATTTCTGTTTACCACGACTAAGGGTCTTTACCTGTCTTTGTTTTCACTCCCGCTGCTTGTTGTCCTTGTGGTGCTGACCCCGCTGCTTTATAGACAGCTAGATTTACAGAGCGTTCTTCTGCAGTCTCAGCCGTGATGTTTTGAACCTCAACTTCTTCTTCTCTTCCTGCAGCCGTGATTTCTGGTTGAACCACAACACTCGATCCAAAGAAAACGTCGCCAAGCGACGCAGCTGCAGGGCCTGTTATTTTCATCCATGCTTTGTTGTGGACACAGGAGTCGGCCTTATTGTCAGTGGAGTGGCAGGTACTCTTTTGTTGGTGTGCGTTACCATCTTCACCTATATATTCAGCCTCTGCTCTTCCTGGAAATTATATAGCACAGTAAGAAACATAAAAAGTTAGGGATCGCCTTAGCTATCCATTTAGGGAATCTTACAAAAACTCTCACATAAAGCAGATAAGGTTTATTCTCATGACTCCGTGGTGTCACATTTAAAATTCCCTTTTCTACCAGTCAATCCTGGAATTGTTTTCACTTTCTTTGTGTTTTTTTTTTTTTTTTTTTGGTATTTGTGGTGTGGAAAGATAAAGTTTAGTCACAGTTTAAACTGTGTACTCTGTCTCTCCAACTGTAGATTTGAGCTAAAGTGAGCATTGCCATATTTCCAAACATGTAGAGATCATCATAAATCTGCTATTCTTCAACGGCATCTTGTCTTTTCTTTCCTTCTTAGAATATCAGCTTAGTGAAATAAACTTCTTTGCCTCGTCTTCTTCAGAATTTGTGAGTTTAATCCCATTTGAAATAAGGTAAATACTCTTTCTATAGTTTCCAGTTGGAGCAGAATGAGAGCTTACCTCAATAAAAATGTCAGTCTTGAAAGTGTATTGTTCTCTGCACCTCTCTGAAAGAGAGCAAACAGAAAGTGAAACTTGTAAATTTCCACCTCACTGGTAAACAAGTTGCATTTATACTAGACGTCACTCATTCTTTACACACAAAGAGACCTAAACAAATTGTTCTGCCTCTAGTTTAAGTCAAGAGTCTTCATATCTAGTAGTAAATGTAATGTATTGCAAATAAGTGACCATAACTTACCAACACTGGTATTTAATGTGGATCTTGTAACGGTCCAGGGTGGGAATAACTCTTCTCTGCTGCAATAACAGCTTGATCTAGACCACTTTCACTTTCTGTTATGACGAGAAGCAGCTCTTGCACCCCCTCTTGTGGACACTAGAACCATTTTTCAACCTAAAAAGAGTGATTAAGAAATAAAAGTAGCAACTCAAAATGTTTAGGTCAACTTAACAGTTTCCTTTTTATTATATTTCATAATTCCACTTCAAATGTAATCATTGATGTTCGACTAAGTTGTACTTATATTCATTTCAGCCACTAACTCCCTTGGAGAGGATTCACACAGGTTATTATAAACCGTTTATATATTGCAGGACAGAGACGACGATGAAGTCAGGGCTTTGTGACAGTGTTGGTTGGTAACAGAGCAATTTCAGATTCAATTCCAGCTTTTCTTTGATAGCACTCAGTCTGCATCTCATATGTTGTCTTGAAAATATCTGCACTACTTTGCAAATGCTCATTAAATGAGGATATTCAGAAGCTTCTTTGTGTTTTTTTCCTAAATTAGTTTAAAAAGGCATCAACAGAGAAAGTCAGGAGAACAGGAGGGCGTGTTTTAATGTCTTTTAAAAGTGGAGTTAATCTGTGTGACCTCATGGATACTTATGCCAGCAAATACACAACAAAAGGTTTAAGACTAAGCTAAAGATAGATCTTGGTTTTCTTTGTTTTGTTTGTTTTTTGTTGTTTTTCAAACTCTGTATTAACTTTTAATCTCAATGTTGTTGCATCACAGGCAAAAGTGTTGAACAACAGAAAGCAACACATTGCTGACGACGAAAAGGGGAATCGCACAAAACTTTTCAAAATGGAAGATATATGTCCCTCTTTGAATGCACAGAATGCCAAACAAAGCATTATAGTCGCTAACAAGCATAACATATACATTCTTGATGATAATTTGAAGAATTGCTCTGTTCTGTTTATCTAAAATGTTTATCTCCTTGTATTAACAACTGAAATTCTTTCACAGAGTTACAAAACACTTCAGAAAACAAACCTTTGAACGTCCAGCTTTGTATTTTGTCACACCTGAATTTCAGGAGGGTTATTGCTTCTGCTTTTGTTTAGACAGATGTGTCCTTTGAGCAAAACAACCAGCGAAACAAATAAATTGGTTTGAAATGACTCATTTCAAGGTGTTTGACCTCGCACAAGAGAAATACTTGCCACCCTTAAAACAATACGAAGGAGTGGAGCTCAGTTAACCACACAGCAGTCTATTGTTGCAGCTCCTTCCCAAAGTGATCATACTGGTTGTGTTTCTTTAATGAAGGCATGTTGTCAACTTCAATGTATCTTGCTTTGTCTTTGTTTGACAGACTAACACAAAGTAGCATGTTGTTAAATGGAAGAAACAGTTCATTTCCAATTTTTCCAATCAAAGACAAATTTGAAAATAAAGCAGGATGAATTTGATCTATCTATCTATCTATCTATCTATCTATCTATCTATCTATCTATCTATCTATCTATCTATCTATCTATCTATCTATCTATCTATCTATCTATCTATCTATCTATCTATCTATCTATCTATCTATCTATCTATCTATCTATCTATCTATCTATCTATCTATCTATCTATCTATCTATCTATCTATCTATCTATCTATCTATCTATCTATCTATCTATCTATCTATCTATCTATCTATCTATCTTAGAAAACAGCACATTTCATGATAATAATAATAACAATAATAATAATAATAATAATAATAATAATAATAATAATAATTTCTGGCTTTAATTTTGAAAAAATGGTAAACACGTCCTATAAGTCCGTGCACATATCAAACAAGGAAGATGATGGAGGACGTCAAAGGCAGCAGGTGAAAAGTCACATTGCTGCATATTTGCTTTACAGGTTTGCCTAAAAATTCTATCAGCCAGCTGAAGCTGATCAAGAATGCTGCCGCTGACATTCTCACTATAACCAGGAAGATGGAGCACATTACACCAGTCTTAAAGTCCCTACACTGGCTCCCTGTAGTTCAGAGAATAGACTTTAAAATATTGTTTAGTTCATAAATCTGGTTCTGCTCTGCATCCCCAGAACCAAACATGGAGAAGCAGCACTCAGCTTCTATGCACCAGAAATCTGGAACAAACTTCCTGAAAACTGTGAAACGGCCAAAACACCGACTGCCTTTAAATCAAGACTAAACACTCATCTGTTTATTGATGAGTTTTAACCATCATAAATGAAACCGACCAATATTTTGATGTGTGATGGCAGCACTTGCCAAATTGTGTTTCACGTTTCTATCATGTTAAGCACTTTAAGCTGCCTTGTTGCTGAAGTGTGCTATAAAAATAAACTTGATTAAAAACAAACATTTTTACAGAAACTGGTTGAAAAGTGCACAATCTGCAATGCAACACCGGTCTTGCATATAGGCTTATATGTTGCCTTGTTTGTTTTCAAGTTGCTTTGTGGATTTAGAAACATGTTTCAATAAATTCAATTTATTTTTATTTTCTCTCTTTTTGGTATGGGCTCATTTTCGGAGAGGACGTGAAGAGAACATGGGATCTTCCATATCCATGACCAGAACTGTAGGAACAACTGTTTGTGACTTTCACTTGAATCCAGAGGTTTTTACTGAACCATTTGGATCATAATCCAAGATCTTATGAAATTTTTATCAGGAGGCTGTTTTCCTCCTGCGACATTAAGGGTTAATAGGCCTTGAACTTCTTATCTAGAAAAAGACAAGAGAACAGGTGGGTGGAACCTCTCAGTTTACCTCCGTTGTCGCCGCCAGGGGGCGCAGCTCTGGAGAACAGCTGAGACTCCTCCGCGTCTCCTCGGGCAGCGCAGACTGTTATGTTCCGTCCTGAAGCCATAACCATGGCGGACAGCTACCAGTTCCCCGTCTTCTTCGAGTGCCGCGGGCTTCTTTCGGGGGAGGACAAGAAGAAAACGGAGAGGTTTTTCCGAGTCCACAGACGGTCCGGCGGAGGAGACTGCGGTCCATTAACTCGAGCGGCTGGTGACGTCTACAGCATCGCGTTCAGACGTCGGGAAGGTGCAGAAACGTTTGTAACGTAGATTCGCTTTAAGAAGCGCGTGAGACCCGGAACGCGTCCCCCTAAACGTTGTGTTTGTTATTATTAATGACGTTAATGTTGTTAATGTTGACTTTCTCCGACTTGGTTTGTTCTCTTAAAGCGCTGCAGTCGATTATTAGAGATAAAAGTTCATTCTGATGTGCTTAGTAGTTTTAAAGTACTCTCATTATTTCAGTTTCTACACAGCAAAATTCTGTTAAATAACTAGAAGAAGATAAAACTAAAGATTGAGTTGTCAAAGCAGTTTACTTTAACACAGCTTGGGAATAATTAAGCCAGTATATCTCAATAATAGAGGAAATCTTGTTTCTCTTTCCAGTCATTAGTTTTAAAGGGACAGTTCAAGATTTATTGTAGGGAAGTTCTGGGTGCTGTTCTGTAAAATCTGCTCTGTTGGTAAAGACAAATAGAGATTAGTTGCTGCTGGAGGTGGAGTCTGATCCTCCTGTGACCAATTACAAAGCCTCAGAGCAGGACTGAAACTAAGTTATATCTCACCCATGAATCAGTCTTGGGTCTCTGGAGCTCCACATGAAACTCAGCACTGCTTCTCTATTTGCATTGGAGGGTCATTTCCATATGGAACTTCCGTGATTATTTTCCCAGAAGTCTGAGCTCGTCCAAGGTCCACAATGATATCTTTGTATTACACACACACATACACATACAATTTTGTATGCATGCATGACTTTATGATGCTTTATAACGCAGATCAACAGGAAGTGTTGAAGAGATCCAAGCACGTCGTTGAGCTCACTGACGGTTGTCTGGAGCTCAGTGTCAGGGGCGACCTGCCACCTCCCAGCTCGTCATATGACACCACCGCTGAAGAGGTCAGCACATTTCCTTCTGGGTTTCCTGTTCCACAAAACAACCATGCAACAGGCCCTTCAGGGATGTTTCATAATCAGCTAAATCTGATCCATAACTCAATTCTTCATGTTTTTCCTTCAGGACGAGTTGAAAAATAACCAGCACAGCAGTTTTGAAAAATACATTTGGTTAGATTGATGTTTGATAAGCATTGAATAAGTGGTATTTTGCATTAGTAAATCTGTCTTTCTGTCTGTCTGAAGCCTGGGTGAAGGTCTTGTGTTAGGAGTTTGCTGTATTTTAGTTGTATGGAAGAAGAATGACAAATAAAACTGTTAATGCTCACAGAAAGGACTTCCAGGATGCTAAAATATTATTCCAGTTTAAATATAACTAGAAAATCTAGTTATATATCTGCTACAATTTTTACATGGGACCCTCCCTATATATGTATACTTTGTAAATTCTGTTATTGTTATGCTTTCAGAGCCAGCAGACCATTCCTGACCCAACTGATGCAGCGGGTGAAGCTAGTGACCATCAGTGTGATGGTCCAGTCCATTCTGAAGCATGTGATAGGCATCTTCTGGGACAAAGTGCTCACCCTACAGAACACAAAGATTCACTTGGAAGGGAGTTTGAGTCTGCTGGACAAAACATAGTCACAGCTGGAGCTCCCAAAGGCCTTGTCCAGGTTGAAATTGGTCAGGGGACCATTGAAAGTCAGAAGGTGAGAATTCCTCAATTTTAAGTTTATTTTCTCTAAAGTGGATTTATTATTGCACTGTTAATATGCTGTTATTTTGCCTGTCAACATAAGCAAGTTGATAACCTTTGGTCTTGAACTGTTTTTAGACAGATGCAGTGGTATCTCCAATGGTCTTCAACAATCCTCTGTCTACTTGTGTTGGAAACATTCTCAGTAAAGCAATTGGTTCACAAGTGACTCAAAGTGTTAAACGAAAGTCAAAAAGTGAAATGGGGCCTGGTGACTTCATACTAGAGGAAGATTTGACTGGACCTCCTTTTGGTGCCGTGTTCTTCCTCAACCTGGTTCGGGGATGCAGAAGACAATGGAACCGCAGTTCAGGTGAGATAGCTGAGCATTTTTACCACAATTAGTTTGTCCAGATCGTTTAAAAATAATGTTCAGCTTGTTTCTTATACAAATTTCTACAGGTTCTCCGATTTGGCATCAACCAAATTCTGACTTCCTGTGAGAGCAAAGGGTTTGGATCTGTAGCCCTACCTGCACTAGGGACTGGCATTGCTCTAGATTTTCCAGTCACTCTGGTAGCCAGGGTTTTACTGGAGGAGATCTCAAAATTTGAACAGGAGAGAACGACCAGCGCACCAGTTCAAGTTCTCCTTGTTCTACCAGACCAAGAGGATGTGGAGGTAAAGTACAATAAACATGTTTTTCCCTTAAATGATTCACAACAAAGGGGTTTATTTTTTTCATTTGCCGATCACATCGAGGACAATACTCACCTTCTTGTCTGATCGCACAATTGTTTTGGCGTAAGATCGGTCAAACATTCCTTTAGACACGTCTAACAATCAGAGACAGTCTTTCTGAAAGAACTGAGGTGGTTATTGCTGAAAAAAGGTGGTACAAATTATTTTGCAGCCTTTGAAATAAATATTGGACGTCATTCTATTTAGGTGTGTGTAAATGAAAATGGCTTTAATGTCTGTATTGCACAGAGGATTCCTGTAATTTGTTAATGATACTAAATTTGAATATCTTTTCTCTACAGATCTTCAAGTGTGTACAAGAAGGTATGAAGTACAACAGATCCACTGAAAATAATCATGGTGGGTAGACAATATGGGGATAGTAAGATTTAAACAAAATTGGTAACACTTTATTTGAAAAGGTGTGCATAACATGACACTGTCATAAACTGTGCAAAGTTGACTCTTTCAATACAGCTTTTTATGTAAATTTGCATTAAAAGTGTCATTATTTACCAAAAGACACTTCATGACAACAGTCAAAAACATTCATGAAGACCACCTTCATGTTCACAACAGGTGTTATGTCATGTTTATGACAGTCTTATGCACAACCCTTCAAATAAATTACCATAAAATCTGTTTTTAGTCAGATTGAAGATTATCAAATAAACATTAGAAAGCAAGAAAAAAAACTGACAGTTCTAAAAAAGGTCCAAAAATCTCAACATTTCTCCAGACTCCAGTCCAACAAGGATGGTTCTGCTGGGGAAAACTGGAGCTGGGAAAAGCCACCTGGCTAACACCATCCTGGGGGAGGAAGTTTTTACTTCTTACCATTCTCCGAATGCAGGAACAGGAAGATGTGAATCAGAGACCAGAACAGTTAATGGGAGGCGCCTCACTTTGATCGACACGCCTGGTTTCTTCGACACCGACAAATCGGAAGAGGAGTTGAAGCCGGAGATAATGCGTTGCCTCACGGAGTGCGCACCTGGACCGCACGTCTTTCTCATTTTACTTAGAGTTGACAGATTCACAAAGCAAGAGCAGCAGGTTATCACTAAGATATGCGATCTTTTCTCAGAGGATGCTCTGAAATACGCTATGATCGTGTTCACTCACGGCGAGCAGCTCCAAAAAGGGATGAAAATCGAAGAGTTTGTCAGTAAGAATAAGAATCTGAGTAATCTGGTGAAGAAGTGCGGAGGTCGGTGCCATGTCTTTGATAATAAACACTGGAGTGGAGACGGGCAAGATGATTACAGGAACAACCAGGTCCAGTTAGAGGCATTCCTTCAAACAGTAGACAAGATGATGGTGGAAAAAAACGGATCCTACTACACCAATGACGTTCTGCAGCATGTAGAAGAAAGGATCCAGAAGCAAGAAAATGAGATTAGAAAGATTGGGGTGTACTTACCCCCACAGGAGTTCAGGGAGAAGGCTAAAACTTTTGTGTCTAGAGAATTTCTGATCCAGTTAGTGGGTACTGCCACCGGTGCTTTGTTGGGGGCATTTTTCGGAGTGGAAGAGCTATTGAAAGTTGTAATGAAAGTTGTGCAGACACCCCAGGTGATGTCGCACGTGAAAACCATAAAAACGATGGCACCTGCAGGAGTCGAACGCAAGGCGGTGGTCGTGGCTGGTGGAGTCGTGGCAGGTGTTGCTGTGCTGGCTGCAGCTGCTGCAGGGGGAATTCAAGGTGGTGCTATTGGATGTGAAGCATCTAAGGAAGCGAAAACTCCGATTGAAGCAATCGAGAAGAGTTATGACGCTGTCATGAAGAAAAGACATATGTTCAAGATGCCGTCACAAAAATAATATTGTTGTTAGTGTAATCCTAATGATTACACTGTCAGTCTTTTTTTTCACTTTCCATAAAAGTACAATATTTTGTGTAATCATCCGCAGCATTTTGATGCATCAATGTGCAGCTAACAGGTGCATATTGCTGACATAAACACACTGGAATGTCAAAGGAATGTTTTATGTGAGCTTCATAGCATCTTGTGGAACCAGTGCCAATAAGAGATAAGGCTATATTTTTAGAACCAACACTATTTTTGTCAAAAATACTTTACTTGTTTCTATGTAAAAAGTTCTATTTTTAAACTAAACTAGCAAGTTCAAGGGGCCCTAGTTCTTCTATCGCTTATCTTTTTAAATTCCTGCTTTTGTAAAGACACTTTATTTCGTCATGTAGGTAGTTCATAGTACTACTTGTTTTAGACAGACTTTGTCATTCTGCTGCACATTCACAGTATACATATTGAGCAAAATTTTGTTGCAAGGCTCCCTTAAAAACAACAAAAAAAATTGTTAAAACTAGCTGCTTTGTTCTCTGTTAAAATACAACTGAATATTTAGTCAGTTTGCTGATATGCACATACAGATATGAAATATTTTACAGCTTCTCTTTTGAAACGATTATTGAAACACTAATATTATTTCTCATATGTGGAATTTCTCAATTTTGCACTGATTTACAAGAGTTATTTTATTTGTTGGACACAAACCTTAAAATGTGCTGAACAATTTTACAAAATTATTTCCCTTTATATTTAACAGTGTTTTCTTCTGGTTGTTTTTCACTGTTTTAATCTGCCACAATAAAATATGAACCATAAACTGAGGTTTTATTTTGAATCTGTCTGCCTTGGTGTACAGTCTTTTTATACCATAAGAACTGAAGCCAAATTTTTAATCATAAGACAGAAACACCAGAATGTCTACATCCCAGACAGAAACATTATTGAACTCACAAGAACTGTCTATTTTATATTTGAAAATGAATATATATATTCAGAAAATGTGTGTGTGTGTAAATAATACAGTTTAAAAAATGTTTCATGTTGAATCAATCAATTTATTTGTATGTCACAATCCAGCAACAAGACAATTCAAAGTGATTTGCATCATAAAAAGACTCACATACAGAAAAAAAATGACAAGTTACAGAACACAATTACAAATCAAAATGATTAAACTCTATAGATCAGTGTTCATTAAAACAATAAGCGGCGTGAGGTTTCCCATAACTGCACTCGTCCAATTAAACAATTCAGCTGAGTTAAGAAAAAAATAATATCATACAAGATGCTTTCCTATTGGTTATCCCTGCCACACACTTAAACATTATTTCCGAGCAGGTGAGAAGCACCAATAGGAAAGCTCTCGCGGCTTCCCGCTTCCGGATGCTCGAAGAAAGCCCGCGCGCGCTGCTCGGTTAGCGACGCACGACGGATTCTTTCGAGATGGCGGAGAACCTCGACTTGGACCAGAGCCAGTTCTGCTGTTCGGTGTGTTTGGAGCTGTTCAGGGAGCCCGTCACCGTCCCCTGCGGTCACAGCTACTGCAGGCGCTGCATTGAAGCCTGCTGGCGGCGCGACGAGGAGGCGGAGGGCCCTTACAGCTGCCCGCAATGCAGGGAGGACTTCCGGCCTCGACCTGCACTGAGGAAAAACGTCACTCTGGCTGAGGTGGCATGTTCACAGTTAAACTGTCGTTTTTTTGGAGAATAATGCCGTTTGAAATCCATGCAGCTGAGTTTAGAAATGTACCTCAGTTGATAACAGATTTTTATGAGTAGTTTTTTTTTTTTACTTTTAAAGTAAAATTCTGAAACTAGTTGTACATTAGTCCATCTACTTGAAATAAGTCTCACCAACAAGGTGAACCTGTTTAGTTTTACATTTTTGCAACTTCCCCACGGCGTGTTTTACCAGACACTGGTTCACTTTGACTAAAGGTCCAGCAGTCAAATTCTAGGTTAACTTGGTCAGAAAGGCCAATTGTTTAAATGCGACTGGAGGGGGCAAGTGAAGCCTGGCAGCCTGCCAGGCTTATAATATACTGGGAGAACCCCTGACATATCACAAGTCTTTGGGGAAGGGTTAATTCTTTGCAATGCAAAATCCATAAAGAATCCATGTACTGTCGGTTAAAAAGATAGTTATGTCATCTAAAAGCAAACATACTTGACTGCTTTTAGAAGGAAATCTGCTAGTTGGTTACTTAAGCCATTCTCAATTTCTTCTTTTTTTTTTTTAATTCGTCCCATCTCTCAACCGACGATCTGATTCAGATCATGGGGAAGCTGAAGGTGACTTGCACTGAGGAAACCCCTCTCTTGCCGAGTGAGCGCTGCGCGCCCAGATGACGTTGCTTGTGATTTCTGCTGCGAGGCCACAAGACACAAGGCCTCCATGTCCTGTCTGACGTGCCTGGCGTCGTACTGCGGTTTCCACCTGGCGCCTCACCACACAGTTCCCGCGCTGAAGACTCACCAGCTGGTGTCCGTCACGGTCCCGCTGAAGGAGAAGCTGTGCAAGAAGCACAACAAGCTGCTGGAGGTGTACTGTCGTTCTGACAAGAGATGCATCTGCTATCTGTGCACAATAGATGAACACCGGGGACACTTCACCGTCCCGGCCTCAGCAGAACGAGCCACAGAGCAGGTAGCAGCAGAAACTCTGCAGAGGGCACAAAGTAGGGAGGTGCAAAGAAGTTAAAAGTCTTAACGAAGGTCAATAGTTCTTAACTCAAAGTTGATTTATTCTTTTTATTTGATGTTTTTTAAGATGCTGCTGAATATGAATCAACTCAGTGTCCAGAGGAGTTTGCAGAATAGAGAGCATGAGCTGAAGGAGTTGGGCAAAGCGCTGGAGGATTTCAAGGTAGGGGAGGAAAATCAAGACAATTTCAGTTTTATGTAGTAACCGTATCGACCTGCAGTGATGTTTGAGACCTGCCTCCACCAGAAGCGTGACAAATAACGGCATAACTTGTCATAATCTTTATGAAAAAATGTATGTTTGATGAGATTTCTGTTCCCATACGATCTTCAGCAGTGGTTATTCTCACTTTTAAGGCGTTAAGAACAAAAATGCAGATTTGTTTCTAGCTTTTGGGGGCTTTACGTAAAATTTTATCAGGGTCCCATAAAATTTTGTACTACTGCTACAGTGGTGAGTTTTGACGGTGTCATTGCCACTGCTTAAAAAAAAAAAAGAATGCACTTGATGATTAATTAAGTCAAATCAAGTTGACAAATCAACTAAATATGCCGTGTCGTCCATATCAAAATGTTTGCTCTTTTACATTTAGTAGTAGCGGTTTCTGAGAAAAACAATGCCACTTTTATTTATTAAAAGAAATGTTAAAAAAAACACTATTCTTTCATAAGTAAGATATTTTAGCCATTCCTAAAGGTTAGATTGCTACAGTGCTAACAGTTTACTTGTTTCCACTTCTGTTTTGACAATTTCTTCTTTTTAATTTGGGTGAAGATCTCAAAGTCTTTGAGATGAGAAATCCTCGTCCATCATTTCCCTCATCTAATCAGTTTTTTTTTACTTCCTGCTCTCAATTCTGAAGTGACTTGCTCAGAAATGTGAAATTGTCAAAAGAAGCGTGGTAAAACTTTCTTCTAAATTTGTCAACAGTATGAATAATTTTGCGCTCAACCGTGCATTGACCTTTGTTGTTTTCACTAATTTGCCTTGTGTTTTGAAGGGGTGGAATGAGAGCATATTTAGGCTTTCCAAGTTGTTGACGCTATCTATAATTCAAAGAAGAGCGCCGACAACTTCAGTTCAACAGGCTTGTGGCCGGACTGCAGTGGACAGCGTCGACCAGATCATCAACCCGTTGATTTCCCCATCGAAATGAGACGCGTCTCGGCAAAACGGATGATCAGCACGAGAGAGAAACTGGCGGTCGCCGAGGCTGAGAAGCTGCAACTCCAGCTACAGGAGGAGATCACCAAGCTGCGGAACGGAACGGTGACCTTTACAAGCTCTCTCTCCAGCGACCACGTTCATTTCATTCAGGTACCTCAAGTTTGAATTGTGTAAAGTGTCGCGTTAAAAACATCGGAAGCCCTTAGTAAATTTTCTGCCGATGATTTAACATGTCAGAAATGTGTTTTAATGCGGCTGCCCAACGCAAAGTAGCGTACGAGCTTGAACTTTTTCATCTACATAAAAATCTGCATGGAACAAAATGCATTTATAATCAGATTTTATTCTGAGTAATGATTAAAATAATCATTTTTAGAGGAAAACAAGGCATTAAGGTTCAAAGTGTCGGCCAAAGTTCACACTGTTAACTGCAGAAGCTCTAGTAATTCAGAAATTGCACTTGGTAACATCTGATGTCCTGGTTGAGCTTCTTTTGAATGGATCATCTGATCTCCTTCCTCCAGACTTTCCCAGCTCTCTCCACTTCCTGTGAATCTCCAGACCTGCCGCCCGGTGCTGTTGTTCGCCCTCGTGAGTCAATGGCAGCTGCATCTCGCTTTTTAGATGACCTGAAGAATAAAGTAGAGGGTATCCTGGAGGACTCCTGGTCCAACTTTTCTGCCACTGGTACTTCACTGTTGCATACAAATTTTGACTTATATGTTGTACTGTTTTCCTTTGGACTGTGTGGGATTGAGCATTTTCTTTCTGTTGGCAGTGTCCGCTGTTAACGTGGTGCGCCACTTCTGCCAAAAACCAGAGAGCAGTTCTTACTCTGTAAGCAAAGTGTTTAATCCTCCTACTTTCTAATAAGACTTTAAATGAAATGCCTGCTATCTGATGAGGGCTAGTGCTCATTTTGGGGTTTTTGCAGATGGCTGTGACCTCACCCTCGACATCCAAACCGCCCACAGGAGTTTATCCATCTCCCAAGAGCAACCGCACGACGTCAGTGTGTCCCACTACGTCCCCTACTATGTCAGTCGCTCAAACATGTTTGAGAGTGTGAAGCAGGTGCTGTGCTGCGAGGCTCTGTCAGAGCGCTGCTACTGGGAGGTCACCTGGGAAGGTTCCTTTTGCGCAGTAGCTGCGGCATACAAAGACATCAGAAGATCATCGTCCGACTCAGAGTTCGGATACAATGACAAGTCATGGAGCTTGGAGTGCTCCAAGAATACCTACGTTTTCCGACTGTTCTGAGAAGAAAGTCGTGTCGGGTCCTCTGACCTCCTGGGTCGGTGTGTACCTGGATTACAGGGCAGGTACCCTGGCTTTACAGCATCTCCAAAGAGATGGTGCTGCTCCACAGAGAGACCATGTTCTAAACCTCTCTATCCTGGCCTTGGGCTGAAGGACGATGTTCAAGCAAAACTGAGGAAGTTTTCATGCTGACGCATAGCTGAGCAGCTATTTTCTTTTTGTTTTGTTTTTTGAACGTACAAAACAACTAAAATGATACGTCTGAATAAAGTTCAAGTAACTTAAAAACCAACTACTCCCTGTTTTTATTTATTGTATTCTTTACTTGAAATTTGCTAGAAAATCCCATTACATCATGACAACCGACAATGTTTTGCAGCTTACTTTTAGCTACTTCAGCAGTTTTTTCACTGAAAATAGGTGTTTCTTTTCCAAGCAAATCTCAATATGAACACCTCAATATGAACGTCTTCACTGATTTCCTGCAAAGTTTTTTGCAACACAAAATGGTCAAGGTAGTTCAGCAGGCTGCACAATCGAGTGGAAGACTGGACAAATGTCCAGAAGTCAGTCACATGGAGGGTTGGCCATAAAAACCTATCGCTGAAGATGCATATTTATAGAAAGTTGAGTGCAAGTCCAAATTTTGATAAGACAAATTTTGTTGATCGAAGCGTTT